GCTGAGCCCGATGCGCGTGGGCTGAGCCCGATGCGCGTGGGCTGAGCCCGATGCGCGCCTGGTGCGTCTGTCTGGCGGTGTGACGTCTCTGTGTCATGCTAGGCGGTCAGCCTCAGGCTGTCAGCCACGCCACATTGAGCCCCCCCACGGAATCTCCGGAGACCGCATCCCTGCCTGCCATCAGTTTTGGGCCGAGTAATTGAAAATGTATATTTTCTTCACCGGATGACTTGGGGCATCTAGCGTGAGCGCTCTGTCGTGGCATCCCTGCTGTGGCATCCCACAGATCCAGCAGGGGGGGGGTGTCAGCTAAAGCCTCTCCCCTGATAGCCTGAGTCTGCGTCAGCTGCACAGAAATCTGCACGGGGGGGGGGGGGGTTGGAGTTTGAGGCTCTTGTGTAGATGCAGGCTTGCAGATGGCCGCAGGAGACGCTCAAAGGTCGTTTTTTCTCTGACACCCAGCAGCGAGGGGGCCGGCCTCTGGGGGGCGCTGCCGCTGCCTGCGGTCCACTGGGAGGCATCTCTTTAGCTTGTGCTAGAGAAGCTTCAGCCCCCGTTGCTTCCTGGAGCACAAGCCCTGATGTGAGCACTAATCGTGTGACAGGACGGGACTGTGGGCCACGGGTGGGACAGGGGTACCAGGGGCTGGGTGTGACAGCCAGTCTCTCTCTCTCTCTCTCTCTCGCTCTCTCTCTCTGGTCTTCTTTCGGTCTCTCTCTCACACACACACACACACACACACACCTGCTCGCTGTCTCACACTCCGTTTCATTCCCATCTGTGTTTCTTCCCCCCGTCTCAAACACACCAGCTCCTTAGATATGGACACACCCACCGTCAGGTGCTTCCCTCCCCCACACACACACACACACACACACACACACACACTTCCTTAATCCTCTGCACAACAGTTGCAGACAATCAGCACCCACATAGATATTCGGTTACCTGTTAAAACCTGCTTTTTTTGTGGCACCTCTCTCAGGACAGTGATGAACTGATGATTGACAGTGGATTGAACTTAGTGACTTTTACCCTGTAATCTGTCTTGGGTCCTGGACCGAATCTAATCGCCGCTCCTTTCCGAGCCTGCAGCACAGATCCATCCGCAGGCTTATAAAAATTGATTTTTTTTTTTTTTTTTTTTTTTTTTGCAGGCGTTATATGTTTTAGTCTCTGAGTGATTTCTGCACTTGTGTAGCGGCTGCTTGCTGAGTGGGGTGTAGCTGAAAGTATGAGCGGCGTGTGAGCTGAGCCCGATGCGCGTGGGCTGAGCCCGATGCGCGTGGGCTGAGCCCGATGCGCGTGGGCTGAGCCCGATGCGCGTGGGCTGAGCCCGATGCGC